GATTTTGACAGGTTTGAATTTTTAACATTTGCAGTTTTACCTAATCGACAACGCGAAAAATCATTCCATATGTATACTCGATCCTGAAAAATTTTGGATTACCCGTTACATACGAGGGCAATGTAATAAAAATTGACAGTAAATTTATTACGGCGCCGTATTAGAGATGGTGTACAACCTCGAATCATTAATAAAGTAGGCTTCTATTAGTTTACAAATGTCATTTATGTAGGATAATTGTTTGGCTCTGGTATTGTTCAAAACTGGTTTACTTGCATTGTCGCCTCTGAAGTTTATAATGTCTGAACTGAAACAACAGCGACGTGGCATTAAATGTTGTGTTTCAGCGGCATATACAAGCTTGTTGAATTATAGGTGCACCTTCGCTCAAGAAAACACGTTTAAAAAACTGCCGTTGAAGATATACTGATTACATTTTTTTTTATTGTAGAAGTCGAAGCATCGTCTAAATATACACAGTACCGAAGGATACTACAGTGGCTGCAAATTGTTACGCAAGTGTTTTCACTAATTAAAAACTGACGACAAAAACTGCCGAAACTTGTGAGAAAGTTGAAGTGTCCCACGCAACGCACGCTCTCATGTTGCAATTCTTGTAACAGAATTTCTGAGCAAAAAGGGCATCAACTCTGTGCCATTTACCTCATAGTCCTGATATTGCTGCTTGGGACATTCACCTGTATCCCCAGTAAAAAGGGGTTAAAAGTATGGACTTGTCAACATGAAATTTACATCGTAAAGACATTAGCGGTGGTTTTGATGCAGCTTGCAATCAGGAGCTTTTTTCACATATTTGACCCGTGATTGCACTCCAGGGAGATTATATAGAAAATAGTAGAAATATTAAATTAGTTGACTTATTAATATTTTTTCTAGATTTAGTTTTAACCTTTGTTGAATTACTCTCGTATAAAAATAAAAAGCAAAATCTATAGCAAACTTTTAATTACTTTTCGTACAAATTTTTGTTTTGATTTTTTTAATTTATTATACATATCTAGAAATACTATTTTTCAGTGCACTAATATAAAAGTAACAAAATATGATGTCCTTTAAAAAGAAGATGAGTCATATCAATTGCATGCCACTTTAGACTGTAACAGCGTTTGCAGAATTCTAATTATTCAATCCGTAAGAAATTTTGATTGCGAAATTTTGTCTGATTTATGCAGGGTGTGTATGAAGTCCCGAAATGACCGATTATCTTCATTATTTGAAAAGCAACTTTTTTTTTAATATTGCATGGATATATGGTTCGACTAACACAATTTATTGACGATATTTTGCATTGTCGGCTTTACTGAAATGTACTCTAGTGAATATTTCGTTCATAATTCATAAATATGTATTAATATCAATGACTTTTTGTGTCCACAAAAATTTAATAAATAAAGTCAAATCGTAACTCTGTTAACACAAACTAAAGACACACTTCAATGATTTGATCATTCCGTTGCTATAGTAACAAATGAAAATAAAATTCTATGAAATAAATCAACATATTTTACAGTTCGTTAGTGTCGGATGTTAACATTAGTTATTTATTTAAACTGAATTTAAATAATGCCTAAAGTGGGTGAATCAGAACGAATTGAAATTCTGGATTATGGCCAATCTTAGCTTCTCCGACAGAATAGTATTTGAATGAAGCCACAATTTGTCTCAATGATACGATAATTGTCGCATCTGGTCCAGAGACAATCCGCAGCGCCCCAAAAAATTAATGTATGCGCTGCTATTGTTGGTAATCAAAAAGTCAGACCACTTTTCATAAATGAATATTTTAATTTTCAGCTTTATCTGAATTTATTAAAGGATGAAATTAAGCCAGCTACTGGGACTCTGTTTTTAAAGTCAGCTCATCCTCTAACATCAGCTGAAAATATCTGATTCCAACATGGGTGAGCACCGCCGCATTTTTCGTTAAATATTCGCAATTATCTCAATGAAACCCAGCAAAAAGGATTAACCGAAAAATTATATATAATTACTAAATAGACCAACAATTAGAAAGAGGTAGGTTAAGTTCCTTTACAAGTTGTAGAAAATACTACACAACATTTTAAAGATCAGGCAGGCCAATGTCACTTATTTACAAAAGAAGAACATTCTGAAATATATTTTTTTATTATACTTAGTTTTTGAAAGTAATATACTTATTGGTATGTTTGAATGTAATTTTAATTTTGAAGCTCAAAATGCAACAATACACAAGTTATTATTCCACTAAAAAAATTAACTTGGATACATTTCCGGCTAAATCGCAAGTGTAAACAAATTGAAAATATCATCAGTAAACTCTTCTCTTGTAGCCATATATGCAGACAAAATAAAAAAAAAGGTCTTTCAAATCACGAAGACAATCAAAATGCATTAACAAAATTTCCGTGTTGACAAATTTAAGTAAAAAGTTTGATAGTAAACATCAAGAAACTGGTGTGTCAGTCATTCGAATAGAATAAATACAGATTTTTTCAAAATAATAAGTATAGTAAATCCGAGTAAAACAAATACGTCGACAAACACTCATTTATAATGTAAGTCAAACAAATGTTAACATGTTTATATGGGACGGGTTGACTTAATTAGAGTGCTGTTCAAGTTCCTAAAATTTTCTGTTGTTAAGACAAAAAAAAGCGTAAAGAGAGCAATCACAACCTCAGTCTACCAAAGTTGCAGATAGTAAAGTGCTACGAATGTTGCTAGCGCGAAAGAGAGAAAACGGCAAAGAGTTAACCTAAATAGCCATGTGCCATCTGCTTATGTCCTTGTCAAAGAAAAAGTGACGAACAGCTGCATAAGCGGTGTTGGACATTTCTTTCTGTTCTTATCATGACCACTGATTTAACTAAGTTTGGCCGCTAGAGCAGTTATTACAAGAATCTGGAATATAATGCAATTTGCGCATGAGTTATTAAGTTATTATTATTACTGTAACAAACAAATTTTTAACGTCTGAATGAATGAAGTAGTTACTCAAAACTATTGACACAACATTATTTTTGCATGTTTTACAATTTTTCAAAGCTGTACCACCGGAGGTTCAAAAATTATGGGGTACGGCTGATTTTAAAACCACTCTGTATTTGCTGAGCTTAACGCTCTCTGCTTGACGTGTAGCAGATGTATCGTAAAGAAAATAAATGCTTTTCCCAGTCACCTCATTTACCGTAACAACAACATAATTTATTGTAATCGAGTCATCCGTGGAATTAAATTCGTATGTCTTCTCTGAAATGATATCATACGTTTAACACTGCGTCTAAAGCTACGCCATAAAAATGTCGTCAAGAAAATTAACTTCAATTTCTGACAAGTTTGTAAACATAATATTTGAAATAGAAACCCAAAAAGACAAAAACTAAAATCCTTATTATTTAATTTTTAACTTTAAATTTTATGTAAATTTATTAGTCAATTTCGCTTAGACTTTCACATGAAACGTCCCTTCTAATCTTACTTTTCTTGTTTTTTGCTTGTAGTGAATTAATATAATAATCTTTACATTAAAAACAATACTTTTTAGAACCTTATTTGTGTATTTGCGTATTCACTCAAAAATGGTCTTTCCATTGGAGCAGAAAATGTATATTATTGAGTTGTCGAAGATAAAGGATGTGTGGAAGTGTAGAAGAATTTCCCTACAACAACGTCTAAGTCCATCCAGAACTTCAAAAAATATTGGAAATGTCGACTTAGCATTGTTTTTTTATCGTGCTATGTTGCAAAATTATATGAACCCGATTTTCCAGCTGGAGTTGACTAGTATCTGTGGTTTTTGGGCACACATGATAACCGCGACTGTTGGAGAAAATCTTTTTTATAGGCGAAGTTTAGTTTCATTTGAGTGATTACATTAATTTTCAAAATGTGGCTCCTCAAAAAATTAGTATGTAGATTTTGTGATCGACGACTGATATTCCTTGAAGGTAATCGTGAAAATAACATCATCTAATTAACCGCTGCTGGATATCAGCAAGAAATTTTGACAAATTTTATACCACAACTTCACAAATATGAAGTAGAAGTAGGTTACTTTCAACGAGACGGAGATACAACCCATTCGCCTAGGACTACAATAGAAATGGTACGACAGTTTTTTGAGAATCGGATTATTAATCTTATGATTTCTGCGGACTTCTTTTTGTGGCCCGATTTAAAGAATACTATTTATTGAATACCTGCCAACAGTTTGGAGGAATAATGCAGAGATGTTGAGGTATGTGATCGATGAAGGTAAAAAAGCTCATTTGTTCGTACAAAAAAATAAGCAACATTTTCAACATTTACTGTAATTTAATTTTATTTATTTAATAAATAAATTAATGTTGTACCAGTTGTACATACTAAATCCTTTCTAAGAATGACTCGATTACGAATTATGTTGCTCGCCCAATAGTTAGTACTTTCCAACGTGCTTGATGAACACATTACTTAAAACAACAGTGTGTGAACTATAATAAAAAAGTAAAGACAAAGAAATAAAATAAATGGCTGCCAATGATAAATAAGAAAGCCACATTTGATATTTTTAACTGTTTCCAAAGAGCTTAGATCTGAAACGATAAGTTCTGACTGCATCTGTATTTAAATTTTCTTAAATTTCCTTTTATTTGTTCAGACATTCTAATTATTTCGCGTAACAAATGACCACCATTACAACGGCCATTTTTACATATTTTTTTAAATATCTGAACTCCACATACAGACGAATGTGCTTAAATAAATTGTCTCAACGTCTCATAAGACAATCTCACAATAATTTACAAAAGACAAATACCTAATCTTCCATTATTACAACGCGAGAAAAGCCTGTGCATAAAAAATTGTTGTACATGTTTTACAAGAAATCTCAGAACATCAAAGAGTGAGTTAAATTTTCAATAAAGTAGTCTCACTGAGTAAAAACCTGCTGAAAAGAAACCTTTTAGAATTAACATCAATCAATATCTTCTATTCTGTGACACCATTCAACTCACCTCGGCAAGGGATCTTCTTTAAAATTCGTAACTTATTTTCAATATGTCTTTTCGAGTTGTTCCTCCCTATCATGAAGAAATGTCTGGGGATAATGCCGATATCCCGTAATTGTATGTCAATGGACTGTGACAGGGACGGCCACCATCCACCCCCTGAAAATGCATTCAACAATCATGAAACTGCTTAATCGGAGTAGTTTCATAAAATTTACGACGAGATTCTGTCTTTATGACTAGCAATTTTATACTTTTACTTCTTTCCTTACTCTGTTACCACTCAGACGTTATTAATTTCACAAGTTGAAAACAGAGCTAAGTGATTTTTATTTTAACGCCCCAACGCTATGAGACAAGATAATACTTTAATGCGTGTATTATAAATCTTCAAAATTAATGTTGTGCAGAAACATCTAAATCAAAGTGATTAGGTGGATTTCCAACGATAATTCAATCTCTCACTTAGGTATTCATAGCATTCACAGCCTAATTCCATATAGCAATAACAAAAGACGTATTCTCACATACAACCCTCTATCGATTTAATTTAATTAATAAAACGAATTTAACCAGTAATAAAACACAACTTGAAGTCACGTTTTATACTGATCCAGGTCAAACACTAATCAAATAAAAATCCTAGCAATTTTGCATCGAAAACCCAATTATTTTTGCTTCAGTTCAAATCACCTTGCCATTTCCATTAATTTCCAAACAGAGGTCAGCTTTGCGGAGAAGTTAATTTAATTTTGTGTCAACTGACCTCTTTTCCAATTCATTGTTCTTCGCTAAGTTCTTAAAGGTTTATCAAACATCGCATGCAATAAAATTGCAGAGGCGGTTCTGTTACACAGTTTGGACTCTATAGAGCTCGATAGAGCCCCCATGAATTTTTAAAGTGTCGCTAGGGAATTTGAGGGAATTTAGGTTCTCATCATCATTTGCGATGTGTTTAATCCACTTTGCAGCAGCAGTAGAAAATGCGAGCTATAAAAGGACTCAAAAACATCTAAATAACAAAATTAATAGTTACCCTTCACTACCGCTTTAGGAAGTTACTCTGCATTAAATACGACAGCCATAAATACTCTTTCTTTATGTGGTAGAATTTATTATGTAGAAACCAATGGGGTGTTAAACGATAGCACTTTAAATGCTCTTAATTTTCAACTACTTGTACGCAAACTCATCGATAAAGACGATTGATTTCAATTCGCACGTAAGCTTGCTTTTGAATTAAAAGGGTTGGCAATTTTTTTAACAAACAGACTAATAATTATTTGTGCAACAAATTCAGAAATTAAATAATTAGCTTAAGACACAAAAATGGTTCACAGAGATGTTAGGACGTGGTGATTAACGTACAATCTTTACTTTTTAGATTGAGTATGTAATACACTGCCAGACAAAAAAACCCGGTCACTTGAATATTTGTAACTTCACGATAATGTTTAGTGTTATAACTTATTTAATTATTTTTCTTTTTCCACATGTTTTAGCATTAAGTTATGTTTTCTGTCAATAAATATATTAATATTGTACTTTTTGGAATATTTCTCACAAAAAATTCAAGCGTCCGAATTTTTGCAGTTTTTGTAAAATGAATCAAAAATATGTCGCTTTGCAAAGAGTACTACCAGGTTTGGTTAAATTAAATTATTTGTTTTATTTTAAGGTATTGTCTATTAGAAGTATTACCTAAGGTTATTTAGACTAAACTTTTCACGTCCCTGAAGAAGTGTTCAACAAATCGATCCAGCTTCTTATAAAAATTAAAAAACGTGATCTTGCAAAATTGTATTCATTTTATATAACCCCTATAAGTTAAAAATATATCTAGATATATACATATAATACTCTGGACAATGTAAGAAAAAAAATGGCCGATGAGGAGATCGAACGGCGACCTCTGCGACTCGCTCGTTATTGTATCATTGAACTATTACGTTGGCTTTCTCTTATACTCATATAAAGTGTAATTATATAATAGGGACTTTTGTAGGGAAAGTCTGGAAGTCAAGAGTAAAAACTCAACGGGGATCCATAAATCATAAGTACAGAAGCATATTATATTAAAAAATTATATTTACCAAGTAAAACATTGAGGTCACGTCATCAAATTTTTGGTGGGGATGATTAGAAAAAATTTGGTTAGCGCATTACCATCTGGACGATATTCCTGACATATGTAGATGTAAAATTTGACTACAATCGATCCGATTTTCGAAATTATTTAAGTATGTAAAAAAAGTTGACACAGACCACAAACAGACGATAAGCAGACGAAAATGGGCGACCTATTTTATCATGTTCACCCTAGGCATCAAGAATTTTTGGAAAAAATTTAAAACTGAATAACAATATTTTGCAATATAAATCTGAAACTGCAGAACCAATTGCTCTGAAATCAAGCTGCCGGTTTCCCGAAACAATTTCAAAGAACGATCTAGCAAACATCTAAAGGTGTTGTCATCAACAACGCCGCGAAACTCATTTTGAAATTCTTCCCAGCCATCGGCTAAAAAGTACTACCACTGACCTTCAATTTTTCGCCCATTGCGAAAATAAGATTCTATCATGAAAATTCTCTGTTCGGAAGTAAAAATAATTGTGCGTGTTAATTGCAATATCACTAATGAAATAAGTTATTATCAGTTAAAATATTGCAATCAAACTACGCCCTACGTTCACATTTCCAAAGTCAACTTGACGTTGTTTTTATTGGAACCCTCGATAATTTTTAGAAAAACTGGATTTGTTTATTGTATTTCAGATGTGAGGGAAGTGCTGTCGAACTAACCTTCGACCAATTTTTTTGAAGTAGAAATAAATATAATCTATATAATGTTATTGTAAATGCATCGAAGCGTTTTTATTTTTCAAAATTATGTGATGCATTATCGACATTTTTGCAAGGATATGTATATCAATTTGGATTGTAGAGTGTAATACAGGGTGGCCCAAATAAAACGAAACAGACGTGACCGTAGGCGCTGTACTCGATTATATGAAAAATGCTGGAACAGGTCGATTTTCGTTACAAAGGGGACGTGTAACCCAGTAACGAGGGGCGGCTATCAAGTCAAGAATCTTAAATAGTACTATTAGTCAAAAGGCATCTTGTATGGAAGCTCTATTAATTCTCTTTCTAACAGTGTTTGAATTTTTAAGTACGGTTGATTGGTTTGCGAGATACAGCGTTGCAAAGGATGTGTATGTGTAATGTTGCTGCGTTGTTATTTGTTTTTTTACTTCTAAGAACGCTTCGTATAGCAAAAAGTGTAAGAAGGCAGACGACATTTTTCACATAATCAAATGCAGCGCCTACAGTCCCGTCTGCTTCGTTTTATTTGGACCGTCCTGGGTATACTAATAATAACAGTATTGTATTCCCAAATTTTCGGGAAAATGGATTAAGCCCATCCTGATTTAATCAAAAAAATAAAATGACACATTCATTTTTTTTTGAGTCACCTGTATAAGCAAAGCTAAAAAATATTAATGCCATGACAAACCACAAGTAAAAACTCATCATATTTTGCACATTTTAGATCGGATTTATTCGGCAAATTTTTGAGAGGGCGTCATCAATGTTTTGGGGGGAATAAACAGTCATATTTTGATTCAAACTTACCATACTTACTTACAATAACTTCAAAACATCTGCAAGATTTCAAAGCATTCGGTTTGCAGATTCAAAATTAAATTGCAAAATATTGTTATATAATTTCGATTTTTTTTTCAAAAATATGGACGATTCAGGTAAAAACTCAAGACGGATCTATAAACTACCTGTGCAGAACTAAGTTATTTTATACAATTTAAGACCAGTTTTGAGGTGACGTCATTAGATTGTTGGTAGGGATGACTACACAAAGATTGGTTAGCGTTTTACCATCTACATGATATTCACAACACACAAATATAATATGCAACAATCGGTCGGGTCTAACAAAAATGGTCACGGACGACGGACAAACAGACAGACAGATAGAGAGACAAACGGAAACGGGAGATCCATCGAGACAATATGAACGCATCCAGTCACCCGATAGACTCGATTACAATACTTCTTTAGCTTACGCTCGGGAAGTAAAAACTAACACATGAGAGGATTGAACTTGCCACCTTTGCGTTATTATGACAACGCTTCACCAACTGAGATATAGGTCCATATATTGTTATAAAATGTTATTATATTTGGATTTTTTGCGAAAATTTGAATGCCAAGTGTAAACAATCAAGATATTTTATAAAGCACAAGTACAGAAGGCTGTTGTTTTAAAAATTTAAATACCAAGTATTTCTTATTCAAAATTTTGAAGTGATGTCTTTAAATACAATTTGAGAACAATCGGTCCGGTAGTTTCGGAGATTGTGTATCTAATAGATATCGACACAAACAACAGACTGACGGAAATAAAAGTCTGAATTTTTCGTATACTAGAGATCATGAAACATCGAGAAAATATTAAAGTAGCGGTATGGATTCTACTACAATACCTGCTTACGCTTGGGAAGTAAAAATGTATAAAAATTCTTTAGTAATACCTGTATTTTCAGATTGCTCTTCAGTAGTTGTACCTGTTATATACAATCTTCATCAGTCAAAAAACAGAAGAAAGTGTGATACAAACACTTTCGTATTCTACACGCTGTGAAACGTCAACATGAAGTTAGACATTTTTTGGAAAATAAAAAAATAAACATTAGGCTCAATGATTTAATGTACTTATTATAGACAATTAATTGGTAAAGGAAAGGTATAAATAAACATAAAAACTGCGATGTAGAAATAAGCGATATTGCACAGTACATCTCGAACTTCTGGGTATTCTACAAACAACACCGTATTGCAAGGAAGATAACGGGTGTGTAATTAAAAATCACGTCAATCACTGAATCAGTGTATTTAATGACGTCGCTCTAAATCTAATCCTATTTTATTTTTTTCGGTATGTCGTACTGTTTTATGATAAAATCGTAACTTCTCGTATCAGCTCTCGTAACTGTAATAGTTCTGATACGATAACACTAAAGCTGTGTTGTGAATATTTTTGGACATATTTTTGTATTATCAGTAAATTGAACATACCTATGTATTATACATTAAACGCGGTATACATATTTCAAGATTTTACAAGTAAAGATTTTAG